GGAGGAGCTCATGGCTACAGATGTAAGTACTAGAAAGAAAATATTTTTAATAAGACTGTTAAGGTTGTTAGGCAATGTTTTTACTTCATTGTTTCCACTGCAGAGTGCCATTGACATCCTGGGCTTCACTCCTGATGAGAAGACAGCCATCTACAAGCTGACAGGGGCTGTCATGCACTATGGGAACCTGAAGTTCAAGCAGAAACAGCGAGAGGAGCAGGCAGAGCCAGATGGCACAGAAGGTCCTTAGCAAGTGACCTTTCAATAAAGAAATCAATTTTGGGACATACTTTTTTTAGACAGAACAAAAGCTATAGCCTAATCAAGTGAAAGCTAAGTAATGTTTCTTTTAGTGTCCATGAAGCTGTGAACCTGAGTCTCTGACCCCCGGCCTATCTTACTGAATGATACTCCTTCAGTTAGCTTTTTGATAGGCTAGTTTCAGGCATTTTTCCATTTAGCATGCAGATGGTTTCGACAAGCATTTTGAAGAGGAAGCTTCCCTAGTTTCATACATAGGCCCTAGAATCAGCTCTAACATGCACATGCTTCTCCTATTGTCAGTGCAGACCATGGCCTATTTAAATATAAGAGCTTTGTTAGATCTTGACTAAGACCAATTGTAATCTTCATGTACTTTTAAATTTAAAATTATTAAAAGCATTGCTTCAGTTTATAAATTTAGTTAAAATACTCAAGGAAAGGTTTCTTACTGATGACTACTTTCAAAAAAATCCCAATATTGGCTTTTACAGCTTTCCTGTATTCAATATGCTTACTGTGGTACTAGATTTAAAGGTTTGCAGTCAAGAATTTTGAATATTGGTGTCGTTTCTGAGACACACTTGTTGATCAAATCCCAGTCCTTGTCCAATGATCAGTTGTTTCTTTGTCTGTCTTGTCTTTCAGTTGCTGACAAGGCTGCCTACCTGATGGGCCTTAACTCAGCTGACCTGCTCAAATCCCTATGTTATCCTCGAGTCAAAGTTGGGAATGAATTTGTGACCAAAGGCCAAACTGTGGAGCAGGTAAAGTAATTGGTTACTAGAAATACATGGTTATACCTCAGAATTTTTCTTCAGACAGTTAAAATTCCTTATAATTTCTCTGTGCAGTAACTTTTGCTCATTTCCCTTTTGCTTTAGGTGAACAATGCAGTTGGTGCCCTGGCAAAGGCTGTCTATGAGAAGATGTTCCTGTGGATGGTTATGCGTATCAACCAACAGCTGGATACCAAGCAACCCAGACAGTACTTCATTGGTGTCCTGGACATTGCTGGCTTTGAGATCTTTGATGTAAGGAACAGGGATTTCTCAACAGCTTCATGGAAAGAACAATGGGTGTTGAAATTCAAAGATTTCTTTCATGAAGAGTCAGATTTTTTGTAAAAAATACAACGATCAAAAGATCTCAATATTGAAGAGATTGGCCTTTTCCACACTTAGATCTTAAGAGGAAAGAAACTAATACCACAGTATGCAAGAATATTAAGCTTAGTTAAAACAAAAGAAAAAAGGAATACATCTTTGACAAAGTATGTATGGACTAAAGATGTGGAAAATATTGAAAGATATTAGAAATGTTTATGATGTTGGCAGAAGTTATTGACAGAGATTAGGAAATGCTGGCGAAAGAACCCCAAAATCTTCCATACCAGTGTATGGAAATATCTAGAACCACTCTCTTAAGAGTAGAAAAATATTTGAGTAGTAAATAAAGGCAGGCTTCATAATTGGGGTGTTGGGACAGGCAGAGTCTAGTAATAAATTTGTTTTGATAGAAGAAAGTATACAGAATTTATTTGCAAAATTTGTTTTGGAAATAAGGGATTCCAAAAGGTTAAGGGATAATTATCATAATTAAAGTAACCATATTACATGGAATGATACCAACCAAAAAAAAAAAATAAAAATCTACATTACAATGAATTAGAGGTCTTATCTCTCTTCAGAATGTAATTACAGTTCCACTGAAGGATCTCTGGGAGAATAGATAGGGAAGGAGCCTTGTATTTGTGTGAAGAGACACATGCAGAACCACATAGGGAAAAGCCTTGTGGTGATGGCTGAACCTTGAAAATGTTGCATCTTTTTTTACATTTGACAGTTCAATAGCTTTGAGCAGCTGTGTATCAACTTCACCAATGAGAAACTACAACAGTTCTTCAACCACCACATGTTTGTGCTGGAGCAGGAGGAGTACAAGAAGGAAGGAATTGAATGGACATTCATTGACTTTGGGATGGACCTGGCTGCCTGCATTGAGCTCATTGAGAAGGTAACCTTCCTGCTCAGGCGCCTTCATGTTGGAATTTTCTAGTTTTTGAGGGATACATAAAGAATTTGTTTATGTCTGGATTAAAATGATAAATTTCAGTTATTACAGAATCACAGAATAACAGAATTGTTGGAGTTAAAAGGGACCTCTGGAGATCACCCAGTCCAATCCCCTTGCCAAAAGAGGTTCACCTACAGCAATTTGCACAGGAACGTGTCCAGGCAGGTTATGAATATCTCCAGAGAAGGAGACTCCACAACCTCTCTGGGCAGCCTGTTCTAGTGCTCTGTCACCCTCAAAGTACAGAAGTTCTTCCTCATATTAAGATGAAACTTCCTGAGTTTCAGTTTGTGCCTATTGCCCCTTAACCTGTTGCTGGGCACCACTGAAAAGAGTCTGGCCCCATCCTCTTGACATCCACTTTTAAGGTATACAAGTATTGATCAGATCTCCTCTAAGTCTTCTCTACTCCAGGCTGAACAGACCTGGGAGATGCTCCGGTCCCCTAATCATCTTCATTATTAAAGTGCTTTGTATTTCTATAATTTTAATGTTGCCAACAATGGTTAAAAGTGGTTCCACAAGTAAAGAAGAAACTTCAAGGATGAAAAATTATGAACCTTAGTTAATTTTCTGTGACACATTGTCCAGAAAAGAAGTAACCTTATCTTCTGATTTGTTTCACATCTTTCTGTCATAACACTAGCCTCTGACCAACCAAGGAATCTGTTTCTCCCTTTTGTCTGTTGCTATTTCTTCCAGCCCATGGGCATCTTCTCCATCCTGGAAGAGGAGTGCATGTTCCCCAAGGCAACTGACACTTCTTTCAAGAACAAGCTTTATGACCAGCATCTGGGCAAGTCCAGCAACTTCCAGAAGCCCAAGCCTGTCAAAGGCAAAGCTGAGGCCCACTTCTCCCTGATACACTACGCTGGCACAGTGGACTACAACATCACTGGCTGGCTGGAGAAGAACAAAGACCCCCTGAATGAAACTGTCATTGCATTGTACCAGAAATCATCTGTGAAGACACTGGCCTTACTCTTTGCGAACTATGGTGGAGCAGATGCAGGTCAGCTCTGTGAAAATTGTATTTTCAATGTGGGACAATGTTGACAGGAAATCAAACAGGAAAATCTAAATGTTTAAAAATTGTTTTCTGTTCTGTAGTTCAATACTCAAAATTGAACAATATTTTAGTATTGTTTTCCCCTTCTTTCATTTACAGAGGGTGGTGGCAAAAAGGGTGGCAAGAAGAAGGGTTCTTCTTTCCAGACTGTCTCTGCTCTTTTCCGGGTACGTACTGGTTTCTTCACTTTGTCTCTTTTTTCTTAAAGAAAAGGAATGTAGAATGTGAAATGTGATATTATAACTCTTGAAGTCCTGTAGCAAGAGAATGAAGATTACATATTATAATTAAATTTTCTTTTCATTTAAATGATGCACTAGTTTCCTCTCTTTTTCGACAAGGAAGTATATTCTCTCATTAATATATCAAAATGAGAATTCTTTCAAATTGTTAGAGATGTTATAATTCAGATATTTTTTCATACATCCCTATTTTTTACACTAAACATGACATTGAAAGGTCAATCTCTTTCAGCTATTGCACAGAGTTCAGAATGTTTTACAAATAGAGATTTTGGACTTCTGAATATTTTTGATACTGCTAACATGCATGATTCATAAGTAATGGAGCAGTTCTAAAAACAGAGAAACTGGCTTTAAGATTATCACATATAAAAGCCTAACCAGTATATCGATTGAGGAGGACAAGTATAGGGAATTGTTCATGACTTTCAAAGCCATGAATGTCAGGCTATCAAATTAGTTATTATCCCAGTTTTTGTAAATAATTAATTATCATGACACAGTAGCCAAATTATATTTCCTTTTAATAGTAATGTTAAACAGTGAAAGATGGATGAAGGCATACGCTTTTGTACATTAATATGGAAATTTTGTATCTAGTTTAAATCTGACAAATTATTAAGTCTTTTCCACGGATGAAATACATACAGCTGCAGGGATTCAGATCTTTCATTTGTTGCTCTAAATTTTACCTTGTAATCTGACAGGAGAATTTAAACAAGCTGATGACAAATCTACGCAGCACTCACCCCCATTTTGTCCGATGCATCATCCCAAACGAAACAAAAACGCCTGGTAAGGGGACCCAATAGGAGAAAAACTCAAGCCACAGAAGCTCTTCTCCTGAGTACTGAACAGTGGGGTGGTCACTAATGACGGTGTTTGTTAGGTGCCATGGAGCATGAGTTGGTACTGCATCAGTTACGATGCAATGGTGTACTGGAAGGGATCAGAATTTGCAGGAAAGGATTCCCCAGCAGAGTCTTGTATGCTGACTTCAAACAGAGGTAAGAGCGCTACACCTTTCTCCCCCTCTTTTCCTGTTCCGCATCCTCTATGTCCTAAATTACTTAAGTATAATATTTACTACACAGTTTAGTATATACAGTCTGTAATCAAATCACTTTACACTAGTCTATTTCTGGAAAATGATAAGATAACATAAAAGTATCCTTTCCACATCCACTTCACATTTGAACAACAATACGTGTTTCCACTCAACTTCCCAAAGATGCCTGTGAAATGTCTTTAGGGAGTGCTGTCCCTATCAACTGCATATTCAGCTGTTGAGGAAAATGACCAGCTGAGAACAGTTGCTGAGAACAGACTGAGCATCCAAAACCAAATATTTTAAAAAGGAACTGAGCAGTAACACAAAAATGCTTCACTGCCAGTTCATGATGATACGACATCGCTGATGATCAGGATTCCTTTGGACTCTGAGTTAACAGTATGAAATATTTACTTATATCATCTTGAAAAAATGGACTGTCTCTAATACATGATTTTACTCAGTCAGAGTCAGCTGTTCCTGAGAAGGCTGTGGGGTTCAGTCACAGCAGTGGTTTCACTAACATGGATTTCTTCATGTTCTTCTTTCTCCTACAGATACAGAGTGCTTAATATAAGTGCTATTCCAGAAGGTCAGTTCATGGATAGCAAGAAGGCTTCTGAGAAGCTGCTTGGGTCCATTGATGTAGACCACACTCAGTACAGATTTGGTCACACCAAGGTAGAAACAAGTCCTGTATTCAAACACTATGTGCCTCTGTTGTGCACTACCTGAGACTGATGGGCTACACTGTTCCCTTTCTTAAGGTGTTCTTCAAAGCTGGGCTGATAGGTCTGCTGGAGGAGATGAGAGATGAGAAACTAGCACAGATTATGACCAGGACACAAGCCAGGTGTAGAGGCTTCCTGATGAGAGTGGAGTATCAGAAAATGGTGGAGAGGAGGTAGACATTTCTCAACCATGTATCGTGTTCTTATGGGTCTTGGCTAATTGAGTCTAAATTAATCCAACCCAAGGTATGTAATATCATTTTGAATTTCATTTCAGGGAGTCCATCTTCTGCATCCAGTACAATGTTCGTGCATTCATGAATGTCAAGCATTGGCCCTGGATGAAGCTGTTCTTCAAGATCAAGCCCTTACTGAAGAGTGCAGAATCTGAGAAGGAGATGGCCAACATGAAACAAGAGTTTGAGAAAACCAAGGAAGAGCTGGCAAAGTCTGAGGCAAAGAGGAAGGAGCTGGAGGAGAAAATGGTGACCTTACTGCAGGAGAAAAATGACCTGCAGCTCCAAGTACAGGCGGTGAGCATTACCATTCAATTGCCCTTGGGAAAATGCTTTTTTACAACCAGCGGAGACTTGTAGGAAACTGACTAATGTGCAGTGGAAAACAGTCTAGATCACACACTCTGGGACAGTCTAACATTGAGAAAACAGGAACTGACGGGGCCATGGTGAGTCTTATGGCAGCCCCACATCCCTGCTGTCTGAGGAAAGAGACATGTAACACTAGCCAACATGTAAGTCAAAGTGTATTCCACAGCAGAAAGCTCTGAACTGCAAGGGAGGTATCTCTATCTACTCAACTTTCAAAACAGGGCATCTTTCTAACAGAGTTAAGGCAAACCTGAGAAG